AATGAGGGGAGAAAATTTAAGTTTTTGTTCCATCAATTTGGGGTGTGACTAAGTGTCACGCCCCCAAAATGCGCAGCTAATTTTGAGATGCATGACAGCGGCAACACGTGCATAAAGCACATGCTAAGCCTGCGGTGCACTTCCACATTATAATAAACTTCATTTTACAAGAAGCTTATTTGACAAATAAAGAAGTCTCAGAGCAAAACTATATTATAACAAGCATTGTTTTAAATATCCCCGACATGGCCCGATATATCCCCCGATATATCCTTTTACAGGGCTTGCCGCAACCGATATGGTCTTTAAATATCCTTTACCGATTTTTGGCTATTTTGAGTGATAAATCTCCGATATGGCCGATATATTAGTCGATATGTGGACCAATATATCTTTTTATATAACTTGTTGCAAAATAATATACCGTGTTTGAAATTTTTGGACGAGATATCAAGATTTCCCCATTATATCAAATGACATTTTGTCCTAAAAAAAGCAGATCGAATGTTGCAACGTTGCTTTGCACTTTTGTTTGTTTTAAAAGGTTGATTAGTGATCCTAAACATATATTATTTATATTTTGTATGCTTAAATTTCATTACATATGTTGAGATTACATTTTAATGCATTATATTATGTATGCAAACATTCATTATGGCATTCCGCTATTTACCACATATCCACGATATTTCCCTGATATCCGCAATCTGATATGAATTTTGATCATCCGATATTTCCCCGATATCCGATATTTAAAACCTGGATAACAAGTTCACTCTAATGAGTCAGAAGACTCTTATTACATATGCATAATAGCATGACTAGCATGACTATAGCTTCAACACCAAACACTCTAAAACATTCTTCTCATGTTCCAAAGCTTCGAGGCTTCGATAAAGCTATCTAATTTTCATCTGAAAAAGATTGAAAAAACAACGGGGTGAGTTTACACTCAGTGAGTAGAAAGCTTATCATTAGCGGATCAGTCAAGTTTGAGAATTTATTAATACTAAAAATTAAGTAAGCTATTGTAAAAAGAACAATTGAGAAATGCATAATATTTTAAATGAGAAAGTTTCTAAGAACAGCAAGGAATATTCATAATTTAAGAAATAGTACGAATGAATACTAAATACTTTTAAAATTGTAGATATCAAGCTAAATCCACAAGTACAAAATTTCCTCAGTTGTCACACTAAGGCTACGAAAATTATAGCCCAGTAGCATGGGAATGCGCATCGAATCACTATAAGTCAACCCGGGGACAGAATGTACCTAGCACTACCATAGGTTGCCCGAAGGCCACTTTTGCCCTAAGGCCACTTTAACACTGGTCGGTACATTCAATACCATATGATAGGCTTAAACAAATCATTTCACTCCATAGTGGACTTCTGAGGATAACACATTTCTTTTTCTTTTTTTTTCTCAAAGAATTCCTTACAACAACTTTCACTTATATGAAAAGCATTGTAAATGCTTGAACACATTTGCAAACTTTTCTCATATCAATTTCATGAAATTAGAATATTCATGAATCTAAATGAATATAAAAATTTTCTTTTTCAACTAGTGTTCTTCGATAAATGCATTTGAACAGTAACTGATATTTTTCTAATAGCCTCATATACTAACAATATTTATCTTGTAAAAGATAAATAGCTATCAATTCAATTTTGTTAACAATTCTTATAAACGAACAGAGTAACATGTCTGATCCATCATTTCTCTATACAAAATAACATTTCTATTTAAATAATACATAATAGAAAATAACCAATGATAAGAAATCTACTCACCTTAGCAGATCTTGTAATAATTTGGATAACAGTACTCCAAGAAAACCTACTCCTTGATCAGACCTATAATCATTCAAGATGTATAAATATCTAATACAAAAGATTTCATGTGCATACTATTTGGGTATACTACTAAGGTTTCCTAATTTCTAGGATTTTTCTGAAGCTTGTTTCTAATTTTATTATCATTTTTTTTTTCTAGAGCCAACAATTTTTAATATAATAATTAAAATCTATAAATATGGTAGATATGGGTTTACTGTTAAATTATGATAAGGCAAGGGTTTATAACAACTTAATTTTGTCCCAAAAGTTATATATTATTCTTCAAATTGGACTTATTTGTAAATAAAACAAATTACAGGGGTCTATATGAAATTATCCTATTTATATATGTTCTTTGAATTCTCTGTTAGGGTTGTTTACAAACTTTTAAATTTTCAGGGGTCTTAAGGATATTTTTATTCCTCTTTATTATTTGGGCCTATATACAAACTAAAAATCTTTCAGGGGTCCCGAAATAATTTTGTTATTTAATTAAAACTCTCTTTATCTCTTCCTCTCAGAGATCGTTCTTTCCTCTTTCTTTTTTTTTCTTTTTTTTTTCTCCTCCGGTTCTCTTTTCTCTCTCTCCCTTCCGATCTCTCTCTCCTCACTGTCTTCCTCTCTCTCGTGTTCCACTTCTCCCTCCGGCAACAGATAATCACCGGCGACTAGGAGCGGTCGACGGCGAACTCCCACCGGATCAAGGTTAGTATTTTTTTTTTCTTTTTTTTTCCTTTTTTCAATTTCCTTAAGAAATCTATATCAGTTTGAAGAAATCAAAGGAATCAAATAGATCAAACATGGGAGTGATTTTACCTTTCAAATTTCTTGATTTTCAAATAAAATCTCCTTTTTTCCCCACTGTCACCTTCTTCTTCCTCCAGCTCTTCCCTCTGTCTCTCTCGTTTTCTTTCTTTTTTTTTTTACACGAATTCTTCCCCCTTCTTCCCTTTTTTAAGCTTTCAGAAAGTTGTTGGTATCGAAAGGGAGAAAAACAACCGGGATTATCGGGATTACGGTGTGGAAAAGAGAGATTACGAAGTGGAAAAAAAAGAGGAAAAAAAATTTAAAAAATTTTGTGTCGTATCACGTGGGCGGCGTAATGAGGAGGCGCGTGATATTGAACAGTAAGTTTTTGTTTTATACATTTGTTTTTTTTTTTTTCGGCGTAATGAGGAGGCGCGTGATATTGAACAGTAAGTTTTTGTTTTATACATTTGTTTTTTTTTTTTTTAACTTGGGGCGGTTGTTACAGATATGGTGATAAAGGATCACCCTGTCTCAAACCCCTTGCTCATTCAAAATATCCATACAGTGACCCATTGAGAGATAGAGAGAATTTTGTTGTAGTTACACAGGTCATAATCCATCTAACCATGTTGTCAGGAAATCCCAGTCCTGTTAGCATGGACTTGATAAAACTCCAACTTATTGTATCAAATGCTTTCCTTAAATCTATGTTGAGAGTGGCTCTTGGAGATATGTGTTTTCTACCATAATGTTTGACAAGCTCATGTGCAAGTAGGATATTGTTTGAGACAATCCTTCCCTTGATAAAGGCACTTTGTGCATCATCAACTATATGCCCTATAACTTTCTGGATTCTAGCTGTAATTATTTTTGAGATCACTTTATAAATACAATTACAGCAAGAGATTGGTCTAAACTCAGAGGGTGAACTGGGATTTAGAACTTTAGGGACTAAAGTGATGGTTGTTGTGTTGAGAGAGCCAAGAAGTTTACCCGACCTGAAGAATTCCTGTACAGCTTTAATCACATCTACATCTATGATGCTCCATGCACTTTTGAAAAATGATGCACTGTAGCCATCAGGTCCAGGGGCCTTCTCATCAGAAATTACAAAGACAGCTTTTTTAATCTCTTCTTTAGTGATAGGAGATCCAAGAGCATTCCTATGTGAATCTGTGAGAATAGGACCATTAGATATAACTGCAGGATCAGGCAAAATTGTGTTCACTTTGCTGCCCAACATTTTCTTATAATATTCCACGAGCTCATCAGCAATGTCTGGCATATCAGTAAGCCTTCTCCCATCCTCTGAGTAAAGAGTTAACACTCTATTTTGATGTTTTTTGGTTTTCATCACTGAATGAAAGTATTGTGAACACTTATCACCATGCACAGCCCAACTGATATTAGCTTTTTGTCTGTAAAATGATTCTTCACAATAAAGCAGTCTATTGTACTCTTTGATACAATTCTTTTCTTGAGATATAAGAACCTGATTAAAGAGATCAACATTCAGCTGCTTTTGAACTCCAACCAGCTTTTCTTTAGCTCTTAAAACTTGTTCTCCAATATTCATAAAATGTTTTTTGTTCAATTCCTTAAGAGCAGGTTTCAACATTTTGAGTTTGGAGTATATCTTGTACATGTTATACCCCTTTACTTCTTGCCTCCACACAGAATTCACAACTGCTAGGTAATCTGGGTGCTTTGTCCACATTTTATAAAATCTAAAAGGCTTTTTACCTTGAAAATCCTCCTCACCAACAGATATAAGGGCTAGAGAGTGATCAGAACAGACTGGAGTTAGGAACTCCACTTGACTTGATGTGTATTGGTGCAGCCATTTATCATTAATCAGTATCCTGTCTATTCTGCTCCAGACTCTAGAATCAGCATCATGTTTATTGTTCCAAGTAAAAAAACATCCAATAGATTTGATATGAAGTAATTGACTGGATGAAATAAAATTTTGAAGATTTTCTGTGTCAGCATCAGTTGTAGCAGTTCCACCCAGTTTTTCTTCAGCACTCATGATTGCATTGAAGTCACCTCCAACAATCCAAGGACAATCAACATTATTTTTGAGATTAAACAGGTCCTGCCATAAATTTTTCCTATCCTCTTTTTGATTTGAAGCATATATCACAGACATTAGGCATGAAAACTTGTCATTTTTCAATTGAACTGAGCAAGTTAAATGCTGATTACTTGACTTCACCTTTTGAATTGTTAGAATATCTTTATTCCAAAGAATCCAGATCCTGCCATTCCCAGCTTCATGCACATTTGAAATCCAACTCCAGTCTTTAGCTATTTTCCTTGCTATCTGCTTCATTTTTCCTTCAGAGAGTTTTGTTTCCAAAAGAGCTATAAGAGGTAGATTGTACTGATATATGAATTGCTTGACAATCAGGTGCTTAGAGGATTTATTAAATCCTCTAATATTCCATATAGCTAGATGCATTTCATTGGTTTCCACCCCTGTCAATATAACAAGGGTCAAATTCATACATCTGAGAATCTAATGCAGAAAAATAGGAATTCTGGATTGGGTCCACAGAATTATTGATTTTTTGCTTTCCTTGCAATATTTGCTCTACTGACACTTGTGAACCCAGATGCATTCACCATTGGAGAAATGATTTGGTATACATTTGCAAAACCAGTGTTCTCATGCCTTATGCCTTGTATGTCAGGAGAGCCATTATCAACAGCTCTGCCCTTACCTTTTGCTCTGTGCACATTTCCTTCAGCATCCTGTGCAGGAGTTACATTATTTTTTCCACAACTATTAGGATCCAATTTCTCCTAATTCACATGTGTAGGAGTTACAAGTAGACTTCCTTCCCCTCTACTGGTATCCAATCTTTCAGTGTTCAATACACTCCCTTTTTCAGACCTTGAATCAGTAGTTTGCAACTTTTCTGCCAGAATATTGTGCATAACTGACTGCACATTTTGTGATGCCTGTGCACTATGTGATGCCTGTGCACTTTGTGATGTCTGTGCATTATGCATTTCTTTTTCCTTCTGCCTATTAACTGGTACCCATACTTTTTTTATTTTTTGTCTCCTGCAGAAGTCAGTATCATGCCCAACCATGTTACAAAATGTGCACCATTTTGGCTTCAGTTCATATATAACTTTCTGATTATATTTTTCACCATCAGGCCCTTGAATTTCAATAGAATCAGGTAGTTGTTCCTTCAGGGGTAGCTTTACCTCAAGAAGAACTCTTGCAAAACTTAGCCTTTGCCTTGTTGCTGTGAGCATATCTGTTGTTATAGGGCATCCAATAAGGCTAGAGATTTTACTGATACCTATTTGACTCCATAAATTGAGTCTCAGATTAGGAAATTGCACCCACATAGGATATGTACAGTCTTGTATTTTCTCCATTTCAGTATCAATTGACCATGGTTTAAGCACCAATGGTCTGGAACCAAAGAACCAGGGCCCTGCTTCTAAAATTTTTCTCATCTGTTGCTCCGATTGGAAGTCAAACAAGAATACACCTGACTTAATTAGAGTGATTTTTGGATTTGAAATCTTCCCCCAGGCTTTGTTTATATAAGCTTCCATTGATTTGAATTTAGCATTTAGTCCTATGACATGGCCTATCAAGGCATTCTTCCAGTAATCTTCACCTACTTTCCATTCTTCTTTAGAGAAAACAGCTGCATTTTTTTGAGAGGGTGGAACAAAATTAAGAGATAAACCTTTCCCAGGCCTTCTGTTATCTGAGAATAAGCTAGCAAATGATTTCTTAACTTCAGGCATATTATTATTTTTTTTTCTAAATCTTTCTCTTCTTTATCTGGTTCATCTTCTTCCAGATTAATCTGTTCTAAATTTATACTCTCTTTGTTAGACTGAGCTACAAATGATGTGAAAACCTCAATATTACTTTCAGACTCAACACCAGCTCCATCAATTTCCGATTCGTACTCATCTTCTACATCATCGGCCCAAGAGATTGAGTTAGGACTCTTACTTAATTTTCGATCAGGGATTTGACCAGATATGTTCAGTTGAAGCGGAACTGAGAGAGAGCTCGTTCTTGCCAGAATTTCCTCCATGAGAATCTTCTTCTTTGCCCCTATCGGACCAGTACTCCCCATCAGCTCCAGCGGTGAAGCTCCCCTTGCTTCCACTGTTCTATTGCTTTCCATGTTATCTTCAATCTCCTCTGTTTCCTCAGATCCTTCAGCTATATAAGCAGGAGAAGAGGAAGGATAGACAAAAATGGAGTCTCTCAATGTAGGGCTAACGATTCCTTTACTGCCATTCTTCTTCTTCTTCCTCATGCTAGATCCAGGCGGAAGGCGCACGATAGTGGGGAGATCGCCCGCTAAAATGCACCTAACAGACCGCCAGCTTTTTTTGTGAGCTAGCACCTTTAGCTAGAGCAGGCATGGAACAAGTAGTGACAGATACGTTAACTATTTTCTCTTGGTTTTGAGATGATGGAGCACTCATCTACATGCCTAAATGAAAATTTACCAAGAAATGAATATTAAAATACTTTAGAACTTCAAAACACCAAGTAAGAGACTCACCATTAATAGATGAGTAAGGGAACTCTCCTCCTTCCTAAACCATCTCCTCATAAGTTGCGCCCGCAGCTCAGTAACTCCCACCCATGCTATAATAAGAAGTTGAAACTTGAGACTATTGTAAGTAAAATAGGTGGGCATTGGCGATGGAAAACTTACCATAAGATGGTGAGATGACCATCAGATCTCCCACATCCAACGTGTCTTCTTCTCAAGTAGCCAAGGAAGTCTGTGTCTGTTCTTCCCTAAAGACCAGCTCACCACCTGAAGATCCTTCAAATGCTTCACTTGCAAGCATATTAATAGGTGAAGTGGAATAATGGGTCCCTTACCTTTAGGCACCTTTGAGGCAGGAATTGAATGAGGAGGGATCTTAGTACCAGTCATGAGTGTCTATATCTTGAGAGGCCATGCCCAATGAGAATGCTCTCCACCAACTTCAACATGTCCTACGATTGGTGACACGTATGTATAAATCAAAGAACTAGATTCACCCTTTGCATCTAGATCTGTGCACTCTTAAGAGAAAGAATTGATTGTCTCTTGGAAGTTAGCCTTGTTGCCAGCATCACCCGAGAGCCGAGTAGTGGGCAAACTTTCTGAAAATTAGAACAAGTTATTCTCAAGACAAAGAACTATGTTTATCTGATTTTAAGTGAAGGGTCTCATACATCTGCCATTATCTCTTCCAAGGATAGATTGTTCTTTGATCTCATTTCCTTCTTTGTCACTTATGCACCAATCCCCGGATGAGCGTCCTAAGAAGAAAATTAAGTTAGACTATGAAAGTCAATAGTTAGATACATCTAACTTTGCCCTGTTCTTGGGTTCGCTTCTCCTCCTTATCATTACTAACTTCTATGACCTCTCTTAAAGTTTGAATGGTCCTACTTCATAAGTGGTTCCCCTCACGAGTCGTTGAAGTAGACAAATACCTGCCAAGACCTTTGCATAGTACCTTATTCCTCTTCTACTTGGAGGAAGATCGACTAGTTTTGGTAGGACATTTTTCCTTACCCTTACCTTCATTTTTTTTGAAGGAACATTCTTGGGCCTGACCCTCATTGATGGTGATGCTGATAGCAAGATGGTAGTGGTCAAGCTCATTGTTGTCATAGATCACCTGAGCCAGGTCATCCAAAGGAAAACCTCCCTCTTAAGGGATGCATGTATATGTATCCTCCATTAGAGAGTCCCAATGCTAAACTTGGAGATTCCCAACATTCATCCTATATTCATTCAACACGAGTTAGGAACATCCTGCCAATGCACCTTTTGGTATACCTTTAAACCCTTGTTACGACTCTTTCTGTTATATTCCTCTGCAAGTGTGGCATGAGACTAACCATTCGTACCTCAGGTGCGACACCTCCACCATGCTATATTAATTGTGATATAGATATTTGGTGATAATGCATGACATTTGCCTTGGGAGAGTAAACGAAGCTCCGCTACACCCTGATATGAAATAGTGACACGCCCTAGTGCCATCCACCAAACTCCCACATGCTCTGATTTGAGGTTAGGGTCATCAACATACATTTGATCATAGCCGAATTTCCAGACAAAATATACTAGCAAATAGGGTTCAAGAGAACAAACATTGTTCACTTGGAGAATGAATGGTATGGATGAATGTTAAACAACCAACTTATAGCAGTCGGCAGGAGCTTGGACTAAAGATTTTCATCATTCTCAAATTTATTCAAGAAGGTCGCATCATAATTCATCTTCAAGAGGACCCAATAAAAGTTGAAGTATTCATAATAGTCCAACTTCTTCGAGATCATGCTAAGGAACTCGAAGTTCCATTTGAACCTTGTACGCTTATAGGAAAGAAACATCAGCTACATTGGTCTGCTTTGTTGGCCTAATCAAAATTTAGCTATGTTCTGTGAACCAAACCATCAAATACGAATATAATAGCTCAACTCTAGGTTGTGGGCTAAGGGCTGTTGTAGTAATGAGATACCAACATCCTTAACCTTCGATGGATGCTACAAATTATAGTGGAGAATAGACCCAACCTTTGCCCATAAACTACTATCGTCATAGGAAAACACACCTCCTAACGGAACACCTCATCAAGTATAACACATCTTTTGTAGCCAGATTGAGAGGAATCTGGCCAAATGATAATCACATTTTATTACAATTTTATACCCTCATTATCTAGTTTATATGAATAAATTTATCACTAAGAATTATTTTTATCTTTAATTACAGGTTAATTAAAAATAAAAGCCCAATATCTCTTCTCTCAACAAAACCCACTAATTAAATGAAAAACTCAAGCATGAAAGCCCAAAAGAAGAAGAAATGCCAAAGAAGCCCAAGCCCAAAGTATAAAAGAAGAAGAAGCTGCGAAATGCAATTGCAGCACACTGGGCATCGATGCCCGCATCGATGCCGGCATCGATGCCATCGTCATTCTGTTACGAATCTAAGGCTAAAATTCATGGTTTTTGGATAAGATTTCGATCAAAGGGCTCTCATTCACTGATGTTTACTATAAATAGGGGTAGAGAGTGAGGGGTTAGAGGTGTGAAAATTTTTGTAACTCCTTTTGGAGAGGAGGGCTACTCTTAATTGAGAAGACCTTCCAAATTTGTAACTTTTTGTTACAATTAATAAAATAATTTTTTCACCACTTTAAATTTTTCTCTTCTTCTCTTTGTTGGATGATGAAGATGAAGATGAAGATGAAGATGGAGATTAATTTGAAGGTTTGTTTTTATTATTTCTCTTTTATTGTTTATTAGTTTAGATTTATTTTCATGCTTGTAATTAAATTTTATTTTCTTGTTTAAATAGCCAAGAGGCTAGAACCCTCTTGCCTTAGATTTATTCCATGCTTATAGATTAGATTTTGTAGTTTATTTTGTAATTAAATTTAATTCTTACAATTTATTTTGTAGTTTAGATTTTGTAATTTATTTTGTAGTTAGATTTTAATTTCTTATACTATTCACCTTGAGGCTAGAACCCTCTTGGGTTTAGTTTTTCTTTTTGTTCATTTTTATTTTCTTTGATTCACCTTTAGGCTAGAACCCTCTATGGAATCACATTTTTCTAAGAACTGGATTCAATTCTAGATTACCCATATCTTTAATTCATTCCGTTATCTTTACATTCTTGATTTTTATTTGTTCTTGATTTTTCCTTCTTGCCTTGTTGATCACATTTATATTATCACTTCCACTCTCAAATATATTCATTTACACAATCATTTTCATTTTCTCCATCTCTCCACAATCACATTCACTCATCACTCCTTTTTGTCATGCACACAACATAAGAACCGATTTTATAATTTCTCCTACAAAACACCTTCCTCGTGGATCGATATCTTTATACTATAACTTGATACGGTTGTGCACTTGCAACATTTTTGGTACATGTTTATGCCGTATCAAGTTTTTAGCACCGTTGCCGGGGAAGGTGCTTAAGTAGGTTTTAATCATTTTGGTTCTTTAACTTGTGTGTTTATTGTGAAGGAAATGCTTGGAGCTTGAAGATCACGGATTGGAGAACTAGGATTTGAAGATTTGCTTGTAGGTAATTCTTCTTTCTAGAATTTTTAATTCAACCATTTAGCTACTTCTTCACAATTAGAGATAATTAGGACTTAAAAAAAGATTTTATTTTTGTTGATCATAATAAAATTCACCCTCCACTTTGACATTTACTAACAAGATAATAAATTCAAATAATTTCCCCCTTCTCATTTGTTTGATTGTTAACCCTAATTAAAAAAAAGATTTTTTTCCCATCCCTTTTAGTTACTTTTAATTCATAGTGTTGCATTTCATATTGTTAGTAGGAATTCACCAAGTGATTTGAGCATCTTGATTTGGCACACACTTAAAAATATTTTTAAGGGAAAACCCCATATTCAACATAAGGTGAGGGATTTCATCATCATTCCATTAGCCCAAAAATCACTAATTCCTCACTACACCACCCAAGCCTAATAAAACTCATTAGACGTTGGCCCTAAGGATTCGAGCTCAATAAGGAACAAAGAATCCTTAAGTAAACCGGTTTAAGTTTTCTTGGATTAGTACAAAGAATCCTTAAGTAAACCGGTTTAAGTTTTCTTGGATTAGTTGGTGTCTAAGGCAAGGTTTAGGGTTTACGTAAAGCGCTCCGTAAGGAATGAGGTACTTAATTGATCTCTGATCACCCTCTAGTACTATCCTTATCTGGCTAACTAACCGGGTAAAACTTTAATCTTTTCACTTTATGAGTTTTTGGTTAGGAGCTAGTCTAGTTGAGTTAGGCTTAATCCCTAGAGTTAGAGTGATTGAAAAGTGATTGATTTTGATTTGTTTAGTTAGGATTTTCCTCTTTTTTCCATTCTCTCCTCATAAAAAAAAACAAACTTTTATAAAAAAAGTATAAAAAGAAATAGTTTTGGTGTATGCAATCGTGGATTAGGGATAATACACATCGGTTAATTCGCTTTAAACCAATCATAGAAATGGCGTATCCTAATCCACACGTTCTTCAAGATATGTGCTATCCCATTAGGAATGCAATCCCCTCTTGTATTAGGCTCCCCAAAACAAATGGAATAAGTTTTGAGCTTAGACCGTATTACATAAACATGCTTCCCAAATTCCTTAGAAATGAAACAAAAGATGCATATATTTTTATCTCGGAATTTGAGGAAGTGTGTATTATGATTAAAATGAGAGAATTAACAGAAGATGTGATCAAACTCAGATTTATTTCATTTGCTCTCAAAGACAAAGCAAAAAAATAGCTGTATAGCTTACCCGTAAATTCCATCACTACTTGGGAGGAATTTATCACTGTTTTTCTTAAGAAATTTTTTCCTATCCATAAAATGGTGAAGCTAAGAAACAACATCATGAATTTTAAAATTATCTCGGGAGAACCTTTTTGGAAGTATTTTGACCAATTTAAAGATCTTCTTATCCAATGTCCTCATCACGGTTTAGAAAAATAGCGATTGTGCCAAATAATTTATGAGGGATTAGATTATTCTGCAAAAACTTCCTTAGAATCAATGTGCCACGGAGATTTTATGAGGAAAAATGCTGACGAAGCTTGGGAATTTTGAGAGAGTCTATCCGAGAAAACAATGCAATGGGAACACTATGATGACAGTGTTTCATCTGTTCCTCATTCTAAGTCTAGTGGTCTTTCCTTAGAGTCAAACATTGCTTCTGAAGCAAAGATGACGATAATTCTGCGGAGGTTAGAAGCCTTAGAAATTAAAGAACGAGCTCCAGCTCAAATCAATCATGTTTTAGCCCCAGGATGTCATAATTGTCTGTCTCCTACCCACGTTTCAGAGGAATGCCCTCTCCTAGGAAACAACAATGCATTAGAACAGATGAACGCTGCATTCCAGCACTTTAGAAATGATTCATTTTCTCCAAACTATAATCCAGGTTGGAGAAATCATCCTAACTTGAATGGAATCAAGGAAATTCTCCCGGAACTCAAAACTTCACTCTCGCTTCGACCCAACATTTTCCTAGGGGAAACACAGTTCTTTTCAATTCTCATCCACAATTTTAGCAACCTAATCTGCCATATCAAAATCAGTCTCCTCTTCATGAAGCTGTAATTCAGACTCATCACAATCCAGATCAGGATAAACGTCTTAATGTCTTGGAAAGATGTTTGGAAACCATAATTAAGGCCTCCACTCAAACCACGAATATGTTGACTCAAACGTCTAGCACTCTGAATTCCTTCATGCAATCAACTGGACAAATGCTCAACTCCAACACTCAAGCTATAGCTAGATTAGAAACCCAACTTGGTCAACTAGCTAGTGCCGTGAGTGAAAGAGAGAAAGAAAAATTTCCGAGTCAACCTGTGGTCAACCTTAAAGACACAGGATGCAGTTCATCCTATGAAGCTCAAGTGAATGTAATCCATTCACTTTGGTCAGGTAGACAGGTCAATAATCAAGTGAGAACTCCTCCAAGTCAAACTATTGATCCAATACAAATTCCTTCTCCTTCTCCTTCTGATGAATCTATTCAACAATCAC